AAATTTGATGCTTTGTCTGCAGATGAAAATTAACTGAAATTAACAAACAATTATTTCTATAATTTAATGACTTACAAATTGTCAGATTTCCAATATAATATCCTTCTATCTGCTTTGTTTTACTAGTTATGTGATGTGGATCAATGGACACTTAAGACTTCTGTACTCCTTTGCAATCAATGTACCACGACAATGCCTTTTCTACAAATGGCTTCTGATTGGCTGGTTGCATATTGCAGGCTTCAATGACTACTGCATTCTCTTTTTTGCTGGCATGTAGAGAGAAAGGCACTTGATCAGTTTTCTGAAACTGTTGTCTTGTGTTCCTATAAACCTTTTCATTTTTTTTTTTTTTTTTTTTTAATCTAATTGATTGCAAAAGATTATTTTTAAAAAATCTCTGAAGTTCACAAGTATATAGATTTGTATAGCAAGTTTTTTTAATTTGAAATAAAAACTTCAATTTTCCCAACCCAACTCATGACCTTCTGAAATCAAACATCTCAACAAGTTTATTATCAAAATTAATGTTAAATTCTACACTATTTAATGTAGATGCAAGAAATAACCTTCCTTATAAAGTCTGATGCCTATACAGTTAGGAAATTCTATTTAAGATTAAAAAAATGTAATGTGGTATTCTATAACTTATGTATTATGTTGGGGTACCAAATATATTCCTTTGCATTTTAAGAAAGAAATTATTCTTGGCATGTTCAGGATATATGAAATAGTTCTGAATAATTTGAAAATGTATTGCATGTTACTCTTTGTATATGTAAAGATACTTCTTGTGCAGAAACTGTTGGAATAGATTTCCCCACCCAAACGATATTTACAATGGAATTTTTTTTTTTTTTTTTTTTTGTAAGCATGAAGCTATCTTTTCCACCTTACCTTCTCTCACTCTGTTGCATCACACTAGTCAGTAATTGAACTGTTTTTCTAAAAGGATTATTGTATCAAGCATATATAATTAGATACTGAGGTATTAACCATATTTGGAGTATTGTTTGCTTTTTCATGACTGACTGCAATAATCATAGGACAGAAAAAAAAAATCTTGTTTTAAGAAATTACACTTCAGATAAAATTCTCTACTTTCTTGATTTGTCCAGCTAAACATTTTTTTGTGAAACTTGGATATGGAGTTATGTCTCTCAATTTTGTGCATTTTTGACTGCTGTATTTCCCTAAATCTTGCATTGCATCAGTGAAACAGTTCTTTATCTTTTTGTTTTTTTGTTTGTTTTTTTTAATCTCTATTTGCTGTTTAATCAAATACTGTGTTCTCTCTACTTGGCCCTACTGCAACTGAGATATTTCAGAATAATATGAGGGTACTAAATAACTTAAGTTGACTAATATTTCACCCATTAATATTTGGTATCACTGAATTGTAACTATATACAAAGTTATTGCTTGTCTGAAATGGTTGACTGCTTGCAGTTAGGAATGCTTCTACTATATATACTATTGTCACTTGTGTATTTATGGTGATGACTTGCTAATGATGCTTTCTGATTTTCTTTCATTTCTAATCTGCTTCTCAGTTATTACGGCTTCCAACTTGGTTTTGAGTTGCTTTTTAGGAACCTGAAGAGAGCAAAAGATTCCTTTTTTTTTTTTTCTTTTTTTTTTTTATGTCAAATTTATGCCACACACACACACACTTCCCTTTGTCTTGTAAATTCTTTGAGATACTTTAGATATTCAAGTAATACAACCGAAGCAACTACACTAAAACAATGACTCTTTATTTATGAATGATTTTTAATTAGTTCAAATATCTTAACAATCAATTTTGCTCTCATATAATTGTCAAGATTTTTGACTATGATGACTTAATGACCTGATTTGAAAAGTTTCAGCCTAATTCTCATTTGAACAAAATTTTCAAGTGTAAGGTTAAAAAAAAAATCTTCATAATTTCCTTGTAAAATTTTGTAAATGCTAGCTATTGCTGTTATATCCAAGTAGCTTAGGGAAAGTGATGGGATAAATAGCTTGGTTTAATCTTTTCACTCTTTCATTCCTTTCTGGCACTTGTCATTTCTAGTGTGAAATTGACACTTGCTTGCTTGTTAAAAATTTCCTCTAAAAGTTTCAGTTTTTCTTCATTCTCTCTTGAGAAATGACAAAAGTGAAGCAGCAGTTGCCCAAGTTGAGAAATTCTTTAAAAATCTTTCTGCTTAAGATAAATAACTGACATTGAAGTTTCACAGCTGAGTGCAAAACACGTATTTGCCATATTTCCATTGGATATTTTAAATTTTTAATTTGTTACAAAAACTACTTATCAAACACCTTTTTTATCTTTCATATAGAAATCAAATAGAAGAAATGGGAAAAGAAAATTACATGTACTCAATGTTGAGTATTAAAAAAAAAAAAAAAAAAAGTAGGTGTTATATTTATATTCAATATCATACAGCTAGAAATTTAAATAGTACCTGTAAAAAGTAGTACCTCACCTGCTTCCCAAATCTGACAAGATGGCCAAACATTAGATTTTATTTTTGAAATGTATATTTGCTGAGCTGAAATTTTCAGAATGTTTTATGATAATTGAGTGTTTCTCTATCCATAACTTCAGTTGCATTTAAAAAATAGATGTATTGAAAATTAACAAGTGAATTCTGCTTAGATTTGAATGATTTGGTGGCAGGCAGGTAAGTGATGTCTACTACACCAGAAAACAGCATAGTAAAAAAAAAAAAAAAAATTAATTTTGTAAATATTAAGTTAGGCAGTTTACAGACAATACACTGATCCTAGGCAAATGGTTGGATAGTGAATAGATACTATGATCCAAGGCTAAGCTGCTGATCCTTACATAATCATGTCTTCTTTTTCTTTTTTTCTTTTTTTACAGGTACTATTCCATTTCTATCTGTACAGGATTGAATATAAATATAACACTTACTTTTTTATTCTTTTTAAATAGTAAACATTTTGAGTAATAATTTTCTTTTCCTATTTCTTTTTGTTTGATTTCTATAAGACTAGTGGTTCTTTAATTGGCTTCATGTGTTTTCTTACCGGGAAAAGCTATTTAACTTTGTATGTTAATTTTATTTTCTCTTGCATATATTTTTGTTCCCTTTATACAGTGGCCAGATGTCACCATGTTGTTTTTTTTGTGTGTGTGTATATATATATATATATATATATATATATATATATATATGTGTGTGTGCATGCATGCACACATCCACTTATTGTCCCTTTATAAAATAAGAGTATAAATGCCACTATTCCCTACATGCTGTAACTCTGTAATTCTCATTTAATATTTTTACAGTTAGATCAATATTTTTTAAGCTTTCATAACTGAAATCTTCAGGTCATGTAACAGTTGACAATTGTAACAATTACTGATGTTGGTTTTACAAGTGACTATATCTGGTAATTGGTTGGAACAGTTAACTTAGTAGGCAATGTGAAAAAACTTAAAGTAGTTAACTTAGATTTTACTAGTATAGCAGAAGTACCTTGGGGTCTGTTTTCCACTGAAATAAATTTTTAAAAATTATTTTGAATTAAAATCTTAATGGAAGTCAGATTTGAACAGAAATTGAAATGATGACAATTAAAAAACAAAAAAAACCCCAAGAATCTGGACACTTAGACAAATTTGGTGGTGGGAGTGATCAAGAAAGTGTCTAAAGAAAACTGAACAAGCTTGAAAAGTATAGATGACATTTCTTAGTGGGTTAAAATATTTGCCACAAAGATGACACTATAAACAGCCCTGACAGCATTATTAGATGTTGAAGTTTGGAAAACTGAACAGACTTGTTTGAAGACAAATGATAGATGGATGGATGATTGTTTGTTGATCTTTTCATAAGATGCGAAGGTAATTTGTGAGACAAAAGAAAATGTGGTTATGTTTGAAATTTTATGGGCTGAAGAAAGAAAAATGGTTGCTTGGGAAATAATAATAATCTCACCAAATAATGTTAATTTGTCAGAGGGATCTGGTTAGTGAAGTAAATTGTCAGGGCTCATCATAATAGTGGCAGTGATTGATTCTCTAACCAATAAGAATCTGCAAAGAGATTTGAACTGGCTAAATTTGAAAGATTTGGAACATACTATTCAGTGGTTTTTGATAATCAAATCAAACCTCAGCCTGACTATACTGGATTATCTTAATATAAGGAAGATCAGTTAAAGTTGAGTTACCAGGGAAGATGCTAGGAGTCACCACTCATCTTTGCCACCTTTTGCAAAATACTGCCCAAGAACAGTTCTTCAATTGATGATTTTCCTCAACTTAAAAAATTATCCATTTACAAACTGGTAAAGTAAAGGTGTTGGAGATCAGGTTTTTGGCAATCAGCTTTGTCTGCAAGCCAAAGTTTCTTGGTTAACTAAACCAACTACTAGTCATCAATAAGCAGTGTTCTTGTTTTTTGCAATGTATTATGAATGATACCAATATACCCAAATACATTGAACTGACTGTAGTCACAGTACAACCAAACTGAGAAGAATCTGTAAATTGTAGCTCTTATGAAATAAACTTGTTTTTATAAACAATAGTTGTTTATACTGAAATGTACTATTCTTGTAACTCCCTGCCCCTTTTGTTTCAGGATTTTTCAATCCACTTTACATAAAACTTATGATTCAACATAGTTAAATGATACTGATTGGTGGATTAGGACTTTTTACAAGTGTACAGAAATGTTTGGTTATAAAGCAAACTTTAGTTTTGTTTTAATTACTTACTATATGCCATCACCTTGAATATATAGTATATTGTTTTTGATCCTAAAATCAAATGTTTTAGTTTGATTGCGTGACTTGTGTACTATTAGGTGAGAATATACCAATAAATACAAGAGCTTGCAAGCTGGTTAACTTTATAGTCTTGTATAACATGTGCCATAAATTACCTGACATTGTTTCTACTTCCAGTAAGTATAAAACTAGGCTCTCTTCACCATTTTTAGCTTGTAATTTTTTTTTTTTTTTTCTTTTTTTCATAGTCAATGTAACACAGCCTCCTCCGCGGCAGTGGATCCCCTTACAACAACCTGATTGCTCCAGGCCTACAGGTAAATATTTATTTTGAACTCATTAGGTTTAAGAAAGAATTTTAAAAGCCAAATTTGTTTTTATGGTTATACAATTGCTGTCTTCCTAACTTAAATCCTTTATTTATACTGCACTGACCATTTTGTATGCGTGTTAAATAGTATTAAGTGCAGTTTAGGAGATTCCCCCCCACCTCTTTCTTACACATAGTAATAAAGAAATGTTATAATTGTTAAAATTGGCAATTAAACTTTAGACTCTGTCTGCCTAACCAAGTCCTTACTATTGGTTGCATAAAATCAATTAACTGTTGTACTTGGGGGCATATAAAACCCATTTTAATATTACTAGACATCTCAACTTTGCAAAAGACTAGAAAATTTTTTCCTGGGCTGGTAGGAAGGGTCTTCATCCAAAGGAAAATTGCGTGTGTGTATATATATTTTTGTTTTTTGTTTTTTTGTTTTTGTTTTTTTGTTTTTTTTTTGTTTTGTTTTTTTTTTTAACTTGATCCCCAAGACACAACAAAGTATAAAGTCTTGTTTGCATTTACCTGTACAGAGACTCAAGCTACAGCATAAAAACAGCAACACATGCTGCATATAACATCTATTCATAATAAAAATCTATGAAGCTATTTTCACCGTGTCTTTTCGATAGAAAAAAGGTGTTTCTGTCAATTGGGTGTTCATGGAGGAACTGTTCCCAACTCTGAAAGATCAAGGATGGAAAGTTGTTGCTATCTAAGAACTTGTATCTTTTTATATATATATATATATATATATAATGTAACTTGTCAGAATTGTTATAACTTGAAACTTTAGTTAGTTCTGCAATTTTTTAAAATTGTCTTCAGCATTAAAGTTGTTTTTATTCTTCTTTTGTACACAGCGATCTAGCTAGTCCTTTAATGACTCTCATTTTTGTTTGTGTGTGGATTTTTTTTTTTTTTTTGTAATATCAGGTGATTAAAGATTTGTTTTTAAGGCTGAAATAACTTTTATTTAGGTCAAGAAGGTCAGCTTTCATCACCTCTAGCCATCTGCTTGGGCTTTTAAAGAGCTGTAAAAAGAACACAAAATACATGTCAACTTCACTTTAGACAGCCAAAGTCTGCACAAGTAATTTGATTCTCTTAAAAGCTGATAGATAAAAGGCTATTGTGTTAAATTTTGTATTTTCTATTGTCTGTCCACCATAAAACTCTGTAAAGGAATTATCTTGTCACTCTATTAACATTTGTATTTCAAGCAGATCTTGGGCAGTTACGAGGGATGGGACACAATAGTATTTCATTATTGAAGGTTGTGGTCTGAAAAACTTTAATCAAAACCTCGTCTTGAATTTGTTAGGCATTCTCTTAAAGAGAAAACCCCAAATCCTTTCCATTCTCTGTAATCTGATCTCCTATTCTCTGAAGAACATTTTTTAAAATCGGATATAATGAAAGAGTTCTAACTATACAGAATATGGAAACAACCGCTTTGACTCCGGTGGTCTTCATCGTACAAATCTCTCATAAATACCAGTGTCCTATTATTGGAAATTAGTGAACTCATTCAAAAGTTTTCTTTGTACATATGCTTCAAAATATCTAATTGAATTCTGGTTGTCTTATATTAATTAGAAATTATGTACATTGATTCCCCCCAAAAGCTAATTTGTTTTTAACCTTCTTGTGACTTATTAGATTATGTCAGTGTATAACAAATTTATTATTATATGAATCTTTATTTTTAGTAATTGTTTAGTTACCCACAAGTAATTTTTTTTCTTTTTTTAATCTTGCCCTTAGCTGTATTCACAGTCATGTGCTACAATGTTCTCTGTGATAAATATTGCACACGTCAACTCTACGGGTACTGCCCGACTTGGGCACTCAATTGGGAATACCGTAAGAAGGGCATCATGGAAGAAATTAAACATTATAGTGCCGACATCATCAGTTTGCAGGTAAGTATTACATATATGTTTAAAATCTGTATATACCCTAGAAAGTTCCTTTCATATAAGTAAGATTTGATACTAACAGTTTTCTCACAAATAAAGGTTGTTCATAACAAATTGTTCATTTAAAGGATAAGTGCTATCTTAACTGGAACAAGTTCAGATTTAAACTGTATTAGAAGGAATTAGAAATATTTGGGTGGAGAATATATTGCCCCGTATATTTGAAAGTTGAACACTTGGATCTTAAATTTATTAGGTGTGTGAAATATATTTCTTGATAAGTAGAAAACTGTTCTTGCCAATCTCCCTTCAGTTGCAAAAATAATTCTGTAACCAAATCATGATAGTAACAAATAAGCATCTTTACAAATTAAGATTCAATGTGCCTCCTTAAAGTTAGCACTTTTCACGATCTTGTTATATGTTCAAAAATTTCATTATCTACTGTAAAAAATCTCAATAGATGGAGTTTGAAGTGGTATTTATGAAGGCTTTCTTTTTTCTGGATGACTAAATCAGCATAATTTTAACATACCAATGGCATCATAAAAGAGAAAAAATTCTATATATTAATTTTAGCATAGGGGAAATAACTTTCTTTCTAAGCAAATAACTTTAAAAGAATTTGATGTCACTTTTTCCTTTCAGGAAGTAGAGACGGACCAGTTTTACAACTTTTTCCTTCCTGAGCTGAAGAGAGATGGGTACAATGGTATTTTCTCGCCTAAGTCCCGAGCACGAACAATGAGTGAGCAGGAGAGGAAGCATGTTGATGGCTGTGCTATCTTTTTCAGGCAGGCCAAGTAAGTGGCTTTCTTTCAAGCACCTTCAGTTTCCTTTTTGTGTGGGTTTTCCGTTTTTTTTTTTTTTTTTTTTTTTTTTTTTTTTTTTTAATATATGCTTTAAAGTCTATGAAGCAGAACATTGACCAGTACTTCTTTTTCTCTCTCTCTCTCTCTCTTTGTAGATTTTGTATTATTAAAGAGTACTTAATAGAATTCAACCAGCTTGCTATGGCCAATGCAGAGGGTAATGATGACATGCTCAATAGAGTAATGACAAAAGATAATATTGGTTTGGCTGCTCTACTTAAAACCAAAGAAGCAGTTTATGATAGTGAGTAAAAAAAAAAAAATATTTTTCTATCTCTCCCACGCTCTTGTGGATCTCATCCACACTTTTTTATCCCTTCCAGCTCCCCTTCACCAAACGCCTTTCTTTCCCTTTTGAGCCCCCCACCCCAATTCTATTTAAAAAAGAAAAAAACTATTCCAAATTTCCTGATTGCTTCATTTGCCTTATTACTTCTCTCCAAACGTTTGAGTGGCAAATATTGTTTCAAATTAAATTTGTTTGAAATCCCCACTTCCTGTTAATTTTCTTAATCCTTTTGCCAAACTGTCTTGCTCTGACCCAGATAATCAAGAATTAAACAGGCCCAAGAAAACTTACTGCTAATCCTTCTGATTTAGGCAGAGAAGGGAGGTATAATTTTTGATGTTGGATTGTTAGGACATTGATTATTTTTTTTTTTTTTTTTTTTTTCCTTTTAGGCTTGTCTTCTGAACGGCACTGTGGTCAACTAGTTCTTGTAGCAACGGCGCACATTCACTGGGATCCAGAGTACTCAGATGTCAAGCTAATCCAAACAATGATGTTGATGTGGGAATTAAAACACATTATTGAGGAGGCCTGCCTCAGCTATGGACAATCCATTCCAGCAGCTGACTGCAATTCCATTCCCTTACTCCTGTGTGGAGATCTCAATTCACTGCCAAATTCGGGTAAGTAATTTTTTTTTTTTTGTAAGCCACCAAGGTACAAGGGGTTACAGGACGTGGAAGAATTAGGAACAGAAACATTAATAATGAGCAGAAAGAGTAATCAGGAGAACATAGTAAATAGTGATTAACATTGCATTTAAATTTTTGCAGATTAAAGTTGGCTGGAAACCATGGATCCAGAAGTTGAGTTCCATAAGCAAGAAGTATGAGAAAAACTGTTGGCATAGAACTTAGATACGTCTAGTTGGCTCAACTATAAATTGATGAGATCTTGATGCCAGGCTAATACTGCACTTAAATTCATACAGTCTAGGTATCATAGCAAAGAGCTCATCCAAACAATTACCAAGAAAGTATTTATGGAAAAGACACAAAGAAGCAACCTTACAGTGGTTAATTGCAGTTAAAATGTATTAAAGTCTTTCCGAGTTTTGTAACATTTGAATATATTTTTCTATACTTTTTACAAAAAGAAAAAAAATTGGGAGCAAAATCTTAATATCAGACAGAATCCCCCCTCTTATTGCTATAATTTAACCTATTCTGCTTCTAAACTGTAGCAGAAAAACAGTTTTTTCTGTAATATAAACCCTGGAACAACACTTGCAAAGGACTCTGGTTTGGCACACACTGATCTGAAAGGAATAGCTTACTGTCATCCCAAAAAACACTCACTTTCTTTATTCATTTTGGCAAGTCAGAAAATTAACATCTTGCACATGCTGCCAGCCTCAGTCTGGCTCAGTGATGCATGTGCCGTGTCATTCCAGTGTCAATGCTGATATGGTTCGCCTCGCTCACAATTTGTGCAAGTTTAGGTTATGCCACTCTAGTCCTATTGGACCTCCAAAGTAATTCTCCAGCACACTATCCCCCCCCTCCCCGAAGTAGCAGCCTGGCAGTAGTCGCTTTCACCAGGTGCTTCTTTGCAAAGGCAGGGAGTGGCATTCTGCTTCCTCCTTGGATTAATTATCTGATGCCGCATCTATGGTGGTATGCAGCAGACTCTCCAACCCACTCTCTGAAGATGTTGTGTTGTCGGAGTCATCCTCCAACATGCTGACATTTCGACCGTGGGTACAGATCCTTCATGTGGCAAGGCATTATGTCCACCAGACAGGACTGTGGGATAAGTATTTTATTCACCTTACCCCCTGCCACGCCTTGACCCACAGGCGATCTCCAAATTGGTAAGGGCTGTGCCCAGGACCTGAGGACATCACGGCATCAACCCGCTTCACCTGAACTACATATCGGTAGATCGCATTGGCCTGTGAGTTGTCATCTTTCAGGATCACATGTCAGTAGACATCTTCCTGGATGCAATTTGCTTCACTGTTTGGTGACATCGCTCCACTATGCCATTCCCAGCTACGGCCCATGTGCAATGCAGGTTTATTTCTCACTCATGTGCAAAAGCTCTGAACTTCCTGCTGCAGAAAGCTGTGTCATTGTCCATAAAGAGCTTGTGCAGTGGGCCTTGCTCAAAGAACACTACTTCCAGCTGTCAAATCACACTTGCCAAGTCTTGATGAGATCAACTGCATTCAAATGGGAAAACATATGCCAGTCTGTGAACATTAAGAAATGGTAGGCACCGTGGTGTGTGATGTCCATTCTTAACTTCTGCCATTTCCTGTTCACCCCCGGCTTTTCCTTCTTTGCACGCCCATATATGGTTGACTTAACAGCTGCTTTTGTTGTTACCAGGTAAACTCTAATGGCAAAGTGGTGCACTGTACTCTAAACAAACACTTGCCCCCATTATTCATTTTGGAAAGCCAGAAAATTAGCATTTTGCACACACTGCCAGCCTCGGTCTGGCACAGTGACACATGCTCCATATAATTCCAGCGCCAATGCTCATATGGTTCATCTTGCTCACAATTTGCTCATCTTATGCACAAGTTTAGGTTACGCCACTCTGGCCCTCTTGGACCTCCAAGGTAATTCTCCAGCACATAAACAATCCTTTATTCAAATAAATTCATTGAAAGTTTGCTTGTAAAAGTAATACAGATAAGTGTAGCACAAAAAAAAAAAAAAATCTGAGTATAGAGCATCCAGTGTGGGTTGAATTTGCTGCATGGTGGTGCTAGTCAATTAGATGAATTCACCTGCCATTACCTGATGTCCAGCGAAGTAGTATAGATTGTTTTAACAGGTTTGAGAGAATGACAGTGAGCATGTCTGGTGAATAAGTAAAATCTGTTTAAACTCTTTCATTCATAATATATATCAAAATTTACTATTTTATGTTGACTTAATGTCTTTTGATTCTTTTCTTGCTTCCTCCATCAGTTTGTTTAACATGCTAAATATAAAAAAAAAATATTTCCATTGCTGAAAAAACAAGTAACAATTTCTCAATGTGGGGAATGTCATGGCCAGTAGACAAGAGATGATTGGTTTAAATGTTTCAGTTAAGATGTTTTAATATAAATGCATTGGTTGAAAAATTACTTCAAATCTTCAATGTAATAATTTTTTTTTTTTTTTCCTTAAGTAAAAAGTACTAATATATTAACTGCATCTGTCCAAGACTTAACTTAAAATTGCTTATAGAACTCTAACAGAAAGATATTAAATGTTTTCTTTTCCTTTTATGTAGGAGTTGTGGAGTATTTAAGTACTGGAAAGGTAGCTGCTGACCATCCTGACTTTAAGGAGTATGGTTACCGCTCTTCCCTGCGCAAGATCAGTACTGCTGAAAGCAAAGATGTTTTGGCCCACAACTTTCGCCTGGGTAGAACTTACGAAGGGGATACCATGCCCTTTACTAATTATACGTTAGTATATTTGCTTTTCACATCTTATTTGTTTAACCTCTTGAATTTCTAAAATTGCTAGAAATTTGAATTTAATGCTTCATGAAAGAAATTATAATTAAATGTTTGATGCATTAACTGCTTTAAAAAAAAAAAATTCTTTTAGATATTAAAAATGTTGTTTCTATTGGGTCAGAACAAAAGTTGATAATGTTTTTATCAGTGATTTTCAGACATAGTCGTACATCCTTAATTCGGTCACATATGGACTGTATTTATCCCTTACTTAGGGTTAGTTTTGATTCCATTCTCCTAGAATTTGGTATGTTTCTGTATGAGCAACTGGCCTAAGTGCTTTTAACAGTTCCTTCTATTAAGGGAACTTTGTAGGGATTGAAATAAGTCAGGTGAGTATGGCAGGTGTAGTAGGACTTCCAAGTCAAGCTGTACCAATTACTGCTGGATCTGCAAAGAGATGTGAAATCTGGCATTGTCCTGATGGAAGATTGGCACTCTTCCAATTGGTCAATTCCAGATGCTTTTCAATGATTGCTGCTTTTTAATCTCTTTGAATGTCTTACAATGCTCATGTTGGATGTGCAGTATCTCTGCAATGTTTTGCATCTTGTGACATGGATTTTTTTTAATCAGCATTTCAATTTGTTTGGCAATTGTGGGTCTTCTAGAATGTTCTCCAGCTTCTAGATCCAAACTTTCACTTTTGAACCTAGTGAACCACTTTTGACACTGCTCTCAATTACAGCTATGGCACCATCTCTATAAATGGCACATAACGTTTTTGATTGTTGTCAGCATTTTTTTTCCTTTCCAGAAGTAAGAGCAGAAAATGCATCTCATTTTCCTCCATTTCCCCTTTTCATGTCAAAACATTTAAAATTCATGACCTATACACAAATTAGTCACATGCAAAACAAAATCATGTCTTCATGTGCCATCTATTGAAAAAATGCCACAGGTTTTTGTTCCAACTCCATAGTTATCATATATATATATATATATATATATATATATATATATATATATATATATATAAAATTTCTTTTGAAATTGGTAAGGTACACTTTAATGTAGCTGAAATATTGTCATTGATTAAATTTTTATTACTACACAAATGTTGTAATAAAATTGATATATCACACACACACACACTAGATAATCAAAAATAAAATTTTTGTTATAATCTCTGATTATAATTTTGTTGAACACATTGTAATGATTGTAAAAATCCTCTTTTTTTTTTTTTTTTTTTTTTTTTTTTTTTTTTCTCTCTTATTGCAGCTATGAATTTAAAGGGGTCATTGATTATATCTTCTACTCACGGGAACACATGAATCTCCTCGGTCTTCTTGGGCCACTTGATGAAGAGTGGTTTCGCGAGAACAAAGTCGCTGGCTGTCCTCATCCTCACATCCCATCTGATCATTTTTCATTATTCGTTGAGCTGGAAATGCCCTATCCCATACACAACGGGCGAGGCTGTGTTGTGAACACCGCCACTACTACCAATAACAACAACAACAATAACAACAACAACAACCTCCACCTGAAAGTGAGATAGTGCCTCGCCAACCCTCCTCACAACCACCACCACCACCACTCATCTTCATCAATGCAGGCAGCAAAGCCGCTATCGAACTATTCCATTTTTCACTAATTTCTATCACAAACTAATCTTCATTATAACATGACAAGCATTTTTTCCGTTTTTTTTTTTTTTTTTTTTTTTTTGTGTCTGTGTGTGTGCGTGCATGTGTGCGTGCAAGTGTATGTGCATGTCTTTCTGTTGTTGCCTGCTCCACCACTACCTCTACTTTGTCACTCCACCATTGCCATGGTGGAGGAGACAATTCCGCCAGTTGCGAACAATTTATCCCATTCTGCCAGGCACATAAAATTTGCTTTCTTTTTTTTTTTTTTTTTCCAATCTCTCTCACTCTATCAGGCTGGTTTAAGTCACACTTATAAAGGCTCAGTTATATAAATTAGTGTTTTTTTTTCTCTCTCTCTCTCTCTCTCTCTCTAAACCACAAATAATGATCTAATAATTGTGCAGGTGGGTTATAATGAAGAATCTTTTAAAAGTAATTTGTTTCTTGTCTTTTGTAAATGTTGCATTCAGCAAAGTATTGAACAAATTTGAGGGTGGGTAAGGAAGTCTAATGACTTTTGGGTTTTTATCAAATCTATTCCATCGAGAAAAAAAAAAAAATAACTTTGGTCCTTCTCTCTCTCTCTCTCTCTCTCTCAGCTGAGAGATCCATTTCTTGTACTTCAATTTCAAATATCCCCACCAGCATCTTCATTTTGCTTCCCTCTTTTCTGCTTCCCATTGGAACAAAATCCATTAAACATATATTTTAACTGATTAAAATCAATCCTGATATGTGCTCCCAAGTTCCAAAGAGTACAGCCTGGAGTGGGGAACCTCCCTCTGCTATGGGTAGCTATATCTGGTTATTTCCTTTGTGCCATACATAATTCTTTCTTCTCGCCTTTGGGCTATCCTCTGTTACCAGTCTTCCTGGTCTGGCCTCAAAAAAAAAGAAATACTCCTCTACCTGTTTCACCCCCTCATGTCCATAATTGTTACATATCTATCAGTGAGGTGATATCTTTTTTAATCTGTTCCAAATGAAGACCTGTTCATATGTTGTCCGTCCACCATTCAGGAAGTTGCTCCTTCTCTCAAAACTATATTTAATGCTTTACTAGTATTATAAAGAAATCACTCCAAAAAAGAAAATAACCTGTCTGGTGTTTGTAGCATTGGTTCAAGGACCTGTGTTCACAAAAATAAACTTACTTTTTTCTTTTTTTTTTTTTTTTTTTTTTTTTTTTTTTTTGATAGATTAGGAAATGCCAATTAGTGTGGGAGATAAAAACTTTAGCGGGAAGTAATATGAAAACATGGAAAAGCTTTTGCATGAAGTCCTGTAGGACTTCATCAGCCTAAATATAAATTTAGTCTGAAGTCCTAAAGGACAAAAACACTGCAATTTTTCTACTTTGATCCTTCTACATGATTAGCAATAATCTTACCTGACAATTCTTCCTCTTTTGAGCAGCTTACTTTTGGGTTAATGTGTTGGTGCGACATAATCTTTAACCATTCAAAAAATATACACTTTTTTTTATTTCAACAGTTGAAGATTTAAGCAAAATAATTTAGAAAATATTTATTCAGTAACCCTTTCTTTCTCTAATATTTTTTCCTGTACAAGATGTCTAGAGAAAGTGGTGATATTTTGATGAATGGCAACAATAGGATCTTGGATGCATATACATTTGCACACACGTGTACAAATGCATGCACATGTACACAATCCTTTACCAACTGACTTCAAGATTTTTATCATTGCAGCATGATTTGGTCTTGTGTGTGAATGAAATCTGCTCGCAGAATGTCACATTTCCAGGCCAATGTGTACCCCCTTTCCTTCGCAGGGAGTCCCTCAAATTCATATTTGTGCAGCCTAAATCTTGGCAGTTTCACATATCTGCTGTCACTGTTGTTTCATTTGATTGTTACCAAGAGAAATGTTCACAGTTCTGTCAGTGGGCAAATAGATCTCAAACTTGTTTGTTCACTTATATTTGTAGCGTTGTGATCTGTAAAACTTCCAATTGATCAAATGGGCTATTTGTCTTTTTTAACATTTGGAAAGAATCACTATTTTGTTTTTCTTTTTGCCATCCACCCCCTGCTCCCCCAAGCTCTCACCACCGCCTCTAACCCTGCTCATATTGTTGACAAAGCACAAGCTTCACCCCCCCAATCCCCCCCCTTTAGCAATCTGTTGAACACTGCAGCCTGTTCTAACAGCTGTTGTTGAACTCTTTCATTTGGTGCATTGATATTTTGGTGGAGGACGGTGTGTGTCTAGGGTTCATTACCAAAAATGCCACAAAATCTAGTCCTTTGTCACTTGAAAGGAATGCAATTTCATTGTTGGATTTCATTCTTTCCTTCAAGCATCTCACCTCATGTCCTTAAATTGCCCAAGAGTTGCTAAACAGGAATCCATTTCATAAATTAAAATGGCAGCAATATTCATTGTGAGGGAGACGGCTGATTATTCTGTGGACTTCAATACAGCCCCACCCTCCTTCTCCCATTTCCTTCCAAACTGTTCATGGATAGAATGAGAATCAGCCAATCTTCCTCATTTTTGCCCCCTTCAGATTCCCCCCCACCCAGTCCAAATATCAAAACTTGGAGATCTATATTGAGTGGCCTGCTGTGTCTGGTCAGCAAACATCCCACCCACCCCTTCCAAAAAATGGGCTTCTCTTTGTATACACAGATTGTGTAATAACTAATTATAAATGGCTGTTCTTGTTGTTCTTTAGTAAGTCCCTGTATTTGTACAAATGAATTCCCACCCGCAGTCCTGGAGCTATCACCTACATCAACATTATTATTTTTTTTTTTTTTTTTTTTTTTTTTCCACTCTTTAACTGTATAGAAAAACAATTCCTGTTTTATTTCTTACACATTTCAAGTATATTTTCATTCCATTGGGTTTTCTGTCATTTGTAAACTAGTCTTGTGCCATATCTGTGTTGACCTGGCAATTGGATTTTGAAGTCAGATGGTATTTGGTGGCGTAAGCAACAATAGTAAATGTAGCCAATCTTTAACCCCACTCCCAACCTCCTAAGACCTCCCTATTTGAACAAAAAACAAAAACTTTGCATCACCCCTGCCCCCAGAGTATGCCTGACATCGGAGAAACAAATCACAAGCCAATTTTTCATTTCAGTTTTGGCATGCATTTTTTTATATAAGAATACATGTCTTTCAAAATCTGATGTCGGAAACCCAACCAATCATCTCCCTATCATTTCGACAATGAGTTATCCTCTGAAAAACAGACATTTTGGAGGAGGAGGAGGAGGAGAGGAAAGAAGGCAGCAAGCAAGATATTCCATCATACACACCTCCTAAATCTTTATAGAAAAAAAAAAATAAAATGAATCAAAAGATTTGGGATATTTTCAAACTGCACACAGTCCTGATATTTCTAAGACCAGATCCTTCTCTCAAGTTTAAGATGATTTAACATTTTGTCTTATTTGAAAAGTAAAGCATATGAATTTTATTTCAAATTGTCATTTCAGTGCTAGGTTTTTTGGGGTTTTTTTTTTTTTTTTTCTGGTTTACTTTGTCATTCTTGGGTCAGTAAACCTTAGTCAAGCTCAGGCTTTGTGCAATACAACAGCTATAAAGTAAGCACTACCCTTCCCATCGCCATTTTCTTCCCATGCACACCTCCTGCTCTTTCACATTAAATTTTTTTTTTTTTTTTTTTTTACTCCCTCATTCACTCCTCTTTCCTTTTGGTTCCCCTCGGGACTTGACATCAAGTCTTTGTGAGCAAAACAACTTTGGGTAGTAACTCTTAATTTTGGGATCTGGTTTTTAGATTTTGTCAGACATTTTTTTTTTTTTCTTTTTTTTCTTTTTTTTCTTAAATCCTAACTGCCCATTCTCCAACCCAACCCAACCCCATCCCTACTACAGGACCTTTGTTGGGCAAGGGGTTGAGTTTGGGTGGTGGGGGACAGGGGGCTGTCCACCCTTTCCCATTTCTGGAACTTTTATTTTAGTTAACAATTTCGGCAGCTCTGATCTAAATCCATAATGATCAGTGTGAGTTGAGAGAACAACAGCCTCCAAGACCACTGGTTATCACCTCCCACTTTTCCTGCCTATCTATATAAACCCAAAGTCTATATATGGATATGGCAAGAGACACACACACACACAAACACACGTTGCGTGTGCACACACACACACACACACACACACACACACACACACACACACACACACAAATAAAATAAATAAAGCAGACCCTGCCAAGTTCATTCCACCCAAGGAAAATATTTACACTTGGCAGATCTTCATCCAAATTATTTTGTGTCTGTCTTTTATTGATTTATTTCATGACCTCTTGAAATTTTTCAGAAATGTCTTTTGTCTTCCATTTGTTTCCTTCATTAGATTGGGAGCAAAGTTCTCACCTGTTGCTGTCATGTTTAATTTTCATCTATTTTAATAAATAACAATTTAACCAAAAAACAAAAAATTTATGCAGATTTTTAATTTTAAAGTAATGATTTCTAAAATTACTTTGGTTTATTTTCCAAGGAAACAAATGGGATGTGGGGATTTTTTTTTTCTTCCAGTAAATATATTAAGCCTATAAACAAATGCAGCTAAAAAAAAAATATCTCAGGGTAAGGTCAGTATTAAATTTACCAGTTAATTTTTTTTTTTTTTTTCTTGCTAAATTTGGTCTGCAATTTAAAGTTTTAATTAGTTTACATGCTCATAATTTTGTCATAAAATAAAAAGTTCACTTCATTCTCTAAATACACACAACATAAGATATTTAAGTTATTCTCAATTTAGTGAGTTATCTAGATTGACCAAGTCTTTCACTTTTTTTTCCTCTCTCTCTCTCTGTTTATTATTATATGAATTGTGACCTAGTTTTTATTTTTTTAACAGTGAAATTAATAACTGGCCAGGAGCATTTCTTTATATATACA